ATTTTTATTTGCCCATGTATGAACGCAGTTAAGAAAAGTTATAGAATCGAAAGTAGATCGCCTTTTTCTACGCTAATTTCCTTCCATATATTTCATGTTTTCCTTTTCTTATCTTGAGTGAACAATTTAATATCGGAAAATCAATTTTGGAACTTACAGTAAAACTTTAAGCCATTGTACCATCCGTGCACATTTTTATTATGTTTACGCAAAGATGTGAAATTTGACGGCCGTGACAAGCAAACCAGACAATCTGATATCATTTATATTTAGATTCTCGTTTATATGTCATTTTTACGAACTAAAAGGAATTGAGAGTAAAGTATAATGATAGCGGCTTTGTTTGATGTATGGCGTTCTCTGTATGTGTCTACTTATTGGCAAAGCTCAAAAGAGCGATAGCGGTTTCTTTGATCGTCGAATTATGCTGTTCTTATTTGCCTTTCCATGTTATTTTTTGAGAAAGAAAGATAACCGTATCCAGTAAGCCCACCTCAAACCCAATCCCCTCCCCCCACCCACCCACTACAACCCACCTCAACCCACCTCTTCATACCAACGATACGCATCCTCGGAACCCAGGTGTAAATCTCTGTCCCTCGTCCACTGGGAGTACCCGAGGATGACCGTTACGAAATCTGCAGGCGGTTAATAGAGTCTAAGTTTAATACTATTCTATCTTTCTTTTCTTTCTAAGCTTGTACGCGACAATGCTGATCTAAGGTGCGAGTTGCCCAAGCTGGAAAAGCGTCTGCGGGCCACGCAAGAGCGTGTTAAAGCATTGGAACAGACGCTGAAAGAGGCTAAACAAGGGGCACAAAGGGACCGGGCTCGCTACCAAAAGGAAGTTGAGAGAATAAAAGAATCCATGAGACAAAAACAAGCTGCTGCAAAGAAGAGTGCACAAGCACATATAGGTAAGATGTTGTACGGTAGAAGTGTAATCAGTTAGTGAATTCAATCAAATGGTAAAATTCTATTGCTAATGAATTTCTACTTTGTATTTTTCTTTACTAGCTAAACCGATCCGCCCGGGTCAACACGCCAGTTCCCAGAACATAGCTGGTATCCGGGGCGGAGGAGGTCAAGCGATTGGTGGAGCCTTGTTCGGTGTGGGACGTAGTATGGCTGCATTAGGTTCAAATGTACCCAATAACCCTAGTTCCCCTAGCATGCCTAGTAACTCCCCAAATGGCGCTACGGTTGGTATCGTTGCACCCGTAATACGTGGAAATCGAAGTATTGAGCCGGCGGTGTCTTACAGTAAGCGTATAAGGAATGCTATTAGCACGGAGTCTTTGAATAGACACCCGCAAGGAGGATCACCGTAAGTATGACGTGAGAGTAGGTTTTGTTTAGAGCTGGAAGACACATCCTACCGTAGATGTGCTGTAAGTCACTTCAGTATATTTCCCGCTTAAACTGCCCTAACTGCAAGTGRCACGGCGCGATATCGACAACAATCAGTGAACCAATCACAGCCAGCAAAATTCCTGCTCGTCCAATGAAAATGCTTAGACACGACACGGTCACGATGACGACACGGCATCGCTTGTGGTAACGTGAYGAGTTTTTCAGATTCATGCCCATTTTCGCAATAGATGRTGCTAAGTGATTTTGGTCAGTTCAAATTTATTAATACTTCAAGATGAGATCAGTTAGTACAAATGTCATGAATATAAAGCGTCTATCGAAAATGCCCCTCATTGAATTCTCTTATTTATTTTCAGGGTAAATGGTCCAGGTGTTACAGAAGAGCGACGCCGTAGCAGCTCGTCACACACCGGGGTGTATCTGGGGAACAGCCACGAAGTGATTCGCCCGTCATCAAGTTATGATAGGCTTAACTTGGTAGGAGAAAGGGGAAGCAGAAAAATCCCCTCCATGCAAGACACGGGTGTATCTGTGAAAATCTCAGGTAGAGATGGAGATGTAACGGCTTTTAAGAAAATTGGGCGGAGGTCGACCTCGTCTCAGAACCTAAACAACACTTAATGAGCGTGAATGCGGAGCCAATCAATTAGGATTTTTAAAAATTGGTGCATCAAAATCTTAATGAATGGGGACGAACCTCCTTCCCACATTTCCTTTTTGTTGTCATGATTTTCTAAATGATAAACGTAAAAGACTATTGCTCATGATGGAAAAGAGAGGATCAAAAGAATGCTGGATCCAAGTCATTTTTAAAGTTGTACATTTGGGTTGACATTGGACACAAATTTGCCATCGCTCGTTTATTTACTTTGAAGACACGAAGTTTGGAGCAGTGGGTGATGCCAGAAAGGTGTCATCGAGCTGGACTTTCCTCTTTCTTTCCTTCTTGATCTATTATTTAAAGTAATTAAATTAGTGATAAAAAACGTCAATCATACGTGTTACTGCAAGCATACGATCGTCAGTGATTGAATTCTCAGACGAACTCCTTCTTTTTCAAAGATGTGGAGACCAGTCCATGGCAACTGAGAAAGCCAGTATCTTAAAGCCAAGTGCCGGCGACTTCACACTCCTGATAATCAAGGCTATTTTTTTCCTTCAAGCTCTAACACATTTTGTTTTTCCTGTTATTCTTCTCCATCGTCGGTCTTCCAAATGGAGTCTACCGGCTATATAGACTTATGCTATCATTCTTTATTTGATTATCCTTTTTATTTTATAGTTTTGGGTATTTGAATTCAGGTCAACATTTGCAACCTTTTTCCTTTAATTCTTTATAACTGGATATATATTTCTTTAATCCAGATACAATATATAATTGCATTATAATTGCATTATAATTGCATTATAATGCAATATAATTATTGCCTTAGGTCTCTAGTACCCAGGGTAACGCGCTAATTCGGGATTGATGGAGATTGGACGCCACAGTGACTACCATTGGTCAAACAACAAAATCTGCTATTTAACTGTCATTAGAACACTAGCGTAGATTCGCTTTAAATGGGAATTAGCGTGCTCTTTCATCACTCAATGTAAGATAAATTGTTTTTGTATATAAATTAGGAACTGACTGTTTCGGACCAGCCTCTATTCGTCCAAATCTTGATTGTGTAAGTTGTTCACTTTATTCCTAATCGACATGGAGCTTGGTAATTCTGGTAAACAAGCCCTGCTGGTATTCTTTCTTCTTTCCCGTTTGATACTTTCAAGACTAACTCAGCGATTCGTTTTGTATATTTGATAACTGTATCACTTGAGCCATTGCTTGTTCTTGTTTTCTATGCAATTCGCTTGACAAAAGTCATTCTGTCGCATGCACCTCACCGAAATTTTTCTATACCTTTGATCACTTTGTCTCTTGTTTATTTTTGGTAACTTTGTTGATCGGTGTTAGTGTTGGTCTGGAACAAAGGTCTCGATGGCTTGCAAAGGCAACAGTTGCCTTAGAAACACCAGAACCGATTCAGCTCTACTCATCTTCAGTACTGCACTCCCTAAGAGTAGACGTATAGAAGGACACTTACCCTTCCTTAAATGTTGCTTCCCACGTCTTGTGGCTTTGAATTAATGTGCTAATACATTGCTGTTGTTAACATCATCTAACTGTTAACCTTGACTTGGAATTCTCCTTGGCGTTGCTGGTTTACGTTTCAATTATTGTCAAAATCCGCTCCAAGGAACACAGAAGGTGACTACTGTGTTTGAACTGAGTGTCCTGATAGCGGAGTTTAACCGTACAAACCGCGATATTCATCTATCGCAAGTAATCYATGCTTTGCTTCATTTTGTCACACTTCTGTCCTACTTATGTTGTCACACATTCATTCTTTCAAATTACCGTAGAATAAGAGAGGAGCGAATCCTACTTATCTGTCGGGGGAAAATGAAGAATAATTCAACTAATAGTCATTGACAGAAGATGGACATTTTACTGTCAGCTTTTGCCCTAAAGCATCGTCATTTCTTATTGTATCAGCTGGCACTTGCATTATATTTGCGGATTCGCAGATCCAGTGAAGGGCCGGGGTTATCAAGACTCCTTTTACATTCTATATTACCTTTTACCTTAGTGTYCGTAACCCACCCCACCGCACCCCTCCTCATTCCTTTTTCTTCAGTTTGTATGTACAGAATTTCGTGAGTGGAGCCGCCCTTGCAATATTGTTAATATTTTATCGTCATTAAATAAGATTACTATCATGAAACAAAGAGTATTTTTTAAAGTAATGATAAATTTGCACAAATGGAATCCATTAGAAATTAAGGTTAAGCGCATTTCTTCTTCGGCCGAGCGAAATGGAGAGGTTAATGGAAAAGTATTAAATAATTTGTTCCGGAATCGATTGCTTTTCCATAACTTAGCGTGCCACAAAAGGAAGATTTCAACAGAGGAGAAACTAAGAGGCTTAATCATTAAATAATGAATAGAAATTCGGTTGTATTTGCTGCTAAGAGTTGTAGCTTTTTTATTAAGTACGATTTATTATTATAGTGCAGTAGCCGGTGTTATTGTACAATGTTATAGTAGTAAAATGATGCCATTAAGCATGTGGGAGTCATTAAACCACGGTTATTTAAAAGCATTGTATGGTTTTGTGTTTTGATTCAAATATCTTGCCCTACCCTTAACAGTCCCATAGTCAAACTGGAGCATATGTGAGTTGAGTTTGTTGTGTTGTTCTCTCCCTTGCCACCAGGGTTTTCTCCGGTTTCCTCCCTCCGTAAAAATCATGAGTTGAGTCTTGCCATGTTGTAAACATAGAGTGTAGTGGTAGTGCGTGTGGAGGGAACCTCATGGAAGATGGGTATGGTGCAGGTTGTATATATATATAATAGCTGATCTTAAACATGCGGACCATCCATGGTCTTAACTGAAAGCACCCTATTTTACAAGACTAACACTAGAATCAGTCCCACCATACTGTAAGTTAACAGTTGAGACACGATCATTCGTGTTTATTCCCGTTAAATTTTTTCCCCCATTTTCATTTAAGTAATAGAATATTAAAATATGGATACAAATTWAAAAATCACATTCTGAAGAGAATGGCATGTGCTCTGAAATGGGAAAACATCTCTTACGCCCTAAGGTAAAGAGGCCTATTAATTTGTCTCGTTACCGGTAAACACTTGACAAGACATAAAGTGTACTTGGATATAAGTAAATTCAGCTTCTAAAGTTTTAAAAAATAATTGCATTCGAGAATAAAATGTGTAAGGAGTAAGAGACCATCAGTAGACGATTCTGGATTGTTAACGTTAAAGAAATTCAATTCTCTGGCAATAAATCCTTTACCCGAGGCGTGATATTTTCCCGTGCAATTTCAGACTACTCGTTCCCATTTGAATAAGATAAGATTGTTTTGTTTCAATATCCTTTATTAATTTGTGATTCTCGTGCGCAACCATTAAACCAAAAAGAGCCTAGTTCACAGACTAGGGAATAACACATGGTCTATATATCTAAATAGAAAAATATTTCACCCAAGGCAAAGAGTTATAAACAGGTACAGGGTTCCGACACTCCTTAGTTACCGTTGCTAAGTCCCACAAGCTCAACCAATAAGCTCGAATATCTTACAATTTAAATCTCTGATCGCGGGAAATATTGATTATAAATTCGTTCAATCGTTTACTGTCCTGTGAAAATAAAACAAAATTGCCTCGCAGTTATTTCGGTTTTCTTTAAAACAGATACTGTGTAGCTGTTTATGGGACAAAGATTTGAATTCCACTGGGAAAACTGCTGCAAGTGGTGATTGGTTCGCTATTGCGTGTGAGTCGGAACCAGTTATCTGTAAATTTGATAATTCGACRGGAAATCCCACGAATTCAAGACAGAGAAATGGCAAGGAAGTGCATTACAGTTGCCGCTTAACCATTCTTATTTTTTCTAATGATTTCATATGATTGGTGCGARCCCATCTTAGAAGGTACTAGAAACATTTAATGATGTAATAAAACATATAATATAGAACAATGTTTTAATACTGATGACTAGGGCTAGTCTGTTTCGTGTTTAAAGGTACTAGAAAAATTTAATGATGTACTTAAACATATAATATAGAACAATGTTTTGATACTGATGGTCAGGGCTGGTCTGTTTCGTGTTTTTATTGTGGGCCTGTGAAATTCCATGTTTGCATTTTTTACATTGTGTATCCGCTCGGCCTACACATTACACTTGATGATATTCGTTTATGTTTTTCGGTTAAAAAAGACTAACCCTAAACAAGAGAGTCTATGATTAAAGTATTGATAATTAAAGGTCTGTGCACCAATTGACCATTACTCGTGTTTGTACATCATTATACAGAGAATAAACATTGATCATGATCTAGAAGCAAACCCACGCGATGACACTGAGTACGAAAACAGTTTAGAGTGGGTTTCGTAAGGGTCGGGAACGTACAGCACGTACACAGGTGACTTAATTCCTGTAAAATAAGAATGGCTTCGCATTATTGCATAAACAACAAATAAAAACATCTTTATTAAGACTCTGATAGTTAGAAATTACATAAATTGCATGCGGTCTCCATGTAAATCCTCTAATCACAACGCATTATTGAGGTAATTACGTTAAGACATGGTATGGCTACCGTACCACTACGATTTCGGCGCATCGTTTCTTTATCACACGAAAACCACTAAATACTTTTGATACGTTATGGCTTATAGAGCGAGCATGCGCGACATCGGCCGTATAGTCGTGAACGTACTGAATCATATCGTGGCAACGCTGTGCCACTTATTTCATTTTGCAATATATCCGTTTCCACTGAACTTCTAAACTGATGGGTTGACTTTCATGAAAGTAGCAGGTCAAATATTGATGGGTTGCAATAGTCCCCAAGAGAGTCAAAAGACAAAAACATGGCGGCCATCTTGGTGCGATTAGCAATGGATGCCGCATGAAAAATATTTTTTCTAAATAGCACCAACATGGCCGCGATGACTTAACGTGCAATCGAAGAATTGACTAGTATCGTAGCCGCGCTAGTCTGGTCTTTCATTATATACATGAGGCCTACCTGACCCTACTGCTGTGACCTCTTTCGTTTGCGGTTATAAATGGTGAATTGTGTTACCTTCACCAATAWGTTCGAATGTTGTCAGTGAATATTTGTATGGCAACCAGAAAGCAATGTCCGAACTTTATGGTGACCGTAACACTATCCAAAACCATTTATACCACGTGACGGCTAGCGCCGAAAAGGTGAATTGGTTGGACTGATCAACAGATAGTGAATCGGTATTCGATTCTATATTCCAGACTCAATAAATCCATGATGGATAACCATGATATATATACAATCATACAGCCTTATTTACAACAATAAATAGTGCGCGTGATATATATCCCACAATCCCCTTCGAAACCATTCTTCTGATGAATTAAAGGAAGAGGACATTTGAGCTTATTAACACAAAAAAACTGATTTATTGCAGACGGTGGATTCATTTGTGCTAGTATATAGCTCCTATTTTTCGATCATATATACAAAAGTAAATCAAAATGGCAGCGATATAGTCTAACACAGACCATGCATATTTCTGGGTCTGGTTGTACGAAGGGTGGATAGCGCTATCCGACGGATAAATCTTATCCAGTGGATAAATTTATTGGATAGCGGCATCGACTTATCCACTGGATATTAAAGGATTTGTCCGTCAGGTAGCGCTATCCACCCTACGTACAACCTGGCCCTGATGTACAAGTATTTACAAACTATAAGCCAACTCTATCCTGGCTTCGGAGCAAAGGCGTGGGTTACTTCTAAAATGGCATGAATAATATAATTATTCAAAAGTTAAACGACCTTCGATATATCTTTCAAATTCTGGTATGACTGCGCGCCAGAATTAGGGTATTTCAATATATTGCTATATCGAAGGTTATAGCTTAATTTGCAATATCAAGGCAAGTAACATCCATCTACGAGTATACGTAAGTATACATCGGATGCCTTTACCTTAATCACAGTTGCCTTGGCTTGCACTGTAATATATATAAAAGATGATCGGGCAACTGCTTCTACAGCAGATTTCGTATGTTGTCCATGAGGCATAACTCCGYCAATGAATATTCTCGGACACGCAAACGTCACGAACACAGTGAGGTCACGGCACGGTAATCCTTACTGTGGTAAAGTCATGCGAAATCAGCTTCGATTCTAAAACGGCGATGCATTTGAATTTAATTCTAGCGATTTTACTATTATTTGGCATACAAATCATTAGGCCCTACAATATATATATATATATTTCGTATGCTAACTAGAATACTAATTAAAGCCTGTTGCTCAATACATTGAGCAAGTAGCTGTTTCAGTCTTGTCAAGAGGTGGAACATGTATGGGGGTCCCGGGGGGGATGGGGGTGGGGGTAAAAGTGAACAAGAGAGGTGACTCAATAATCAAGTTGCCTGTCACTTACCCCTGAACTTACAAAATAAAAATAATAAGATCAAAACAGCCGTATGAGAATAATGAGGTCAAAACGACGTGTGAATTAACGTCTTGTACACAGCCTCTTCGAGAATCTGTCTCTGCGGTCGAGTTGGATTTAGGACCGTTTACTATTTACCTTGAGGGCCTTAAAATATTTGTGGAATTTGGGAACGAAATTGGAGATACACAGAAAAAAATAATGAACAGTCCCCTTAAACTCAACAGCGCTAAACTTGAGTGCTGAATCCAACCCGTTCAGTACTTCATAGCTGATTCGGTTTGGCGGTGAGATACTCCTGAGCTTCAGGACCAGTATTATAGTTGCTAACGTTACCAAAGGCGTTGAAAGAGGTCAGAGGTCCTAGCCTCTAATTCAGCCAGTACAACAGACGTTTTCCTTATAAAAGAGTCCCCTAACTGAGAGAATTTCGCTCTGCCATCGGAAGAGCATGATCTTCAGTCCTTTATCAAAAATACTCGATCCAATTCGCCAGTGAGACACTATATGTATATATTATATAACAGTCAGATTATCATGTCAGTTGAATTTCGCGTGAAGTAAGTCCAACCACGGGGATGAATTCCATATATTTTAAATCCTCCAGATAAATGACTGTTTTTATCGATTGGTTCAAAATACACTCGTTCCATATCAAACCCACGAACGAAAATTTCCAAGCAAGGCCGCATTGGCCGATCCCATATTTCAAAGGTGGTATTGTAGAGATAGTTTAGTTCAAACTGATTACCATTGCCATAAATAGTGAATGTTAAATAGATTTTATCATTGCTGTTAGTTACTTCGGCTAGGCTGAGGCCAGGTACGCTATCTTCATCAGACTTGGGCTTATAGACGCCAATAAAAGAATGTACATTCCGAGGAACCGAGCTCTGAAGGAACAAAATGCAGTTGAAAAATTTAACATGGAAGTAGGAAGAATTGTAGGTTCTATTTTTGGGGAGGGGAGGGCAGGGGAGGTGCCGGGTGTTGTCTCGGGTTCTCTCCGTTTTATCTAGTTCTCTGGAGATATACCAGAATGCTGTAGAACTCAAAAAGAATCTATACTTTGGGACAGTTTATTTGGCCGAAATTCAACCACTTTTCAATTATGAACTTTTCTATAGTACACTTCCAAGAGGTGCCTACATTTGGCAGCAAATAATGTTTAGTATTCCTCCCTGTTCTGAAACTCGTACCAACGCTATATAACACGTACTTTCAAAAGTTATCGAACYGGGCCGATCAATATGTGAGGGCACGGGTAAGACAGGCAACCCAGAAGGGGGGAAAAGTAAGAAAGGAGTCAAAACATTTAATATACTGGAAATGTTTTGGAATAGAAGAATGTTTCGGCCTTGCCATAAGAAAAAAGTCTGAGTTTGATCGGTTAGCTTACCATGGTTGAATTTTCTTTTAGAACACTGTTGAAAGCATTTACCAATTTCGTAAAAAGACTTTGAACTTTGCCTGTATAACCAGTGAACAAGACATTGAATGCTGAAAGAAAAAGACCGACAGAATAGGGCGTTTTAATTGCAATCCCTGGTTCCAAGACCCTGTGCTATTGCCAGCCAGCTACTGCCAGCCAGCTATTGCCAGACAGCTATTGCCAGACAGCTATTGCCAGCCAGCTATTGCCAGACAGCTATTGCCAGCCAGCTACTACCAGCCAGCTATTGCCAGCCAGCTACTACCAGCCAGCTATTGCCAGCCAGCTACTACCAGCCAGCTATTGCCAGCCAGCTACTGCCAGCCAGCTATTGCCATTACCGCGCGTTGCCTTCCGCTGGCTGGCAATAACGCAGGCACTGAGAACGAGAATAGTTCAAATGCATGCTTGATTCCTATGAAATATGTAAATAACATTGGTCTTCATGACAAGAAATAACGACTGGGAATAAACTCGGTGCTAATGACTGGGCAAAGCAAACATTTGGGTACAGAAGAACCTTCCCAGTAACGTGCTATGTTGAATTGAGAGCGGCTATTACAACAAAGTCCAAAAAAGTCGTAAACAACATGTGAGTTCCGACTTAGACAATAGCGAACCAATCATCTTCGCAGCAGTTTTCCCAGTGGAACTAAAGTCATGCCCTAAAACATCTATACAGTATCTGTTTTTGAGAGTGCTACAAGGATAACTAGGCAATTTTTAATTCTTTTCGCAGACAACAGTAAACTATTGAAACAATTTATAATCAATTTTCCGCGATCAGAGTTAAATCTTAAATTCTGAGATAAATAGTACAAACGCTAAAAGTGTGCAACACTTTGCACTATTTAGTAGTAAATAGTGCTAATTAAACAATAGAAAACAATAGGATTAGCATAATTTAGCAGTATTTGRTGGTATTTATGTTGCAAACTTATAGTGTTTGTACTCTATTGTTTGCACTCTACCKTAGTAAAGTTAATCTAGAACACGTACCGAGTTTTAGTTCAGGTACAGCAAAGATGTAGGAGTGGTAGCCAAATATATGGCCATTCTTTATTCGYAAAAGGTATCCATCATTGAAAAACATTTCCCATGGCATACCGACTAAGCTCTTTTCGTCTGAAAGCATATACGCTGGAGGAAATTCAGAAAAATAAAAAAAGTTATTATGAACTTAAATATTAGTCAGTAATCTGTCTTAGTTTCAACTGTGGGACAAACAAAATTCCAGGATGGAGAATATTGATGGATAAAAATTGTGAAGATCAATACGGTGTTGGTGATGATCTCGTGTGAAGATTTGACTTGACGATAACTAGAATATCCACTATTCTTGGGGTGCATRTTGCGTCATATGGCCGCCATGTTGGTTGACGATATCAAAGCATTCCCCATTAACTTTTCTTGTTAAATCAACCGACATGACTTGACGGCAACTAGAATATCCACTATTCTTGGGGTGCATGTTGCGTCATATAGCCGCCATGTTGGTTGACGATATCAAAGCATTCCCCATTAACTTCTTTCTCTTGTTAAATCRACTAACATGGCGGCCGTTTTATTGTTATCTATATCTCAARGGATTTTCAAGTCAAGTGGATGCACCCCAAGAATTAATGCAATACGTTGCTACTTGTGTCTTCCAAACTTAGACGCCATCTTTTTTCTCGTGCGGAATATGATCAACTGAATCGCTTTCAATTAACAACTCTTTCATGTTAAGCAGCAACATTTGGAATAGATAATTTAAGTGAGTCTCATGTTAAACGTCGAATTTCACATGAGCCAAACCTAACGACATCAGAGAAGACCGCCTTGTTATCCATTGCTTCAATTAGGTTCGGCTCATGTGAAGTTTAACCTTTGATCTGAGCCTTAAAGACATTTGTCAACTCATTGAAACTCATTACTGCTGATCAAAATGCAAATTCAACTGATTCTTGAAATGCTTTCAGATCGTTTCACTAGTTTACCATTTGTGTGTGTGTGTGTGTGTGTTTATTCTCATAAGATTGCACTTTTAGCAATTGCGCAAATTTGTGGAAAATGATGGAAGCTAGATAAGATGCTTATTATCATCACGAAAACACACTTCTTACCTGGGGAAAAAAATTCGTTTGCGTAAACTGGTGACAAAAATCCTTTTTTGTCAAGAGACTTGAAGAGATCKATCTCAAGCTGAAATGTAAACGTGAATAAAATTAGTCTAAATACCAATTAATACGGTGCGATTTTTATCACAACTGTTGCACGCAACATGCTGACGAAACGAATTGCTTAGTGTAAAACAAAGGACCTTTGTGAAAAAGGGCTGTACAACTTATACACACGCCTGTAGATCGACAGCTAAAACTCTTTGGAAAAAATCATATAAATCACCTCAAAGGATGTAACATATGACCGTGCAAACAATCAAGGGAGTGAAAATAATGCAATATCCCAATAGAGGTCTTGTACAATCACGTGTCCATAATACAGCTTGGGCTGCCTGCGTTTAGATGGCAGAACGATAAAATCCCTTTGCTCTAGGGAAAAGAATTATGTAAAAGAATTGTATTGTTCCTGCCATCTAACCTGGCTGCCGTTACTTGATGGTGCAAAACCTTGATAGAGGCTTTGCACCATCACGTGRTGGCAGCCATGACAGGAGGCACAACGATAGCGTCGTTMTCCCCTGGGAAACTGAATTCTTTCTCCTGTAAATCCGATTAGACCAGATTCAATCGTTCCTGCCTCCTGTCATGGCTGCCATCACGTGATGGTGCAAAGCCTTTATAGATATATTTCCTACTGACCTTGGCAAGGTCGGACAMGGAAGTGAAAAGCCCGCCAGAAGGATCAAGCCATCCCCAGTTCTTCGGCTTTCTTGGCATGTAATCGTAACCAATTATAATATTGTTTTGGATTCTTTGGCTGAACAGAAAGTAAAAAATCAATGTTAGACGAGGTCATAAAACGTAATTATCCACATTTTGGTGACTACATAATTGCATAAAGACTTACTAACATTACAAAAGTGTTAGATGAATCAAWTCATTGCGCAACTGATTTAATTCGCCTTTTCGGCGCTAGCCATCGCGTGGTATAAATGGCGTTGCATTGTGTTACGGTCGACACCAAGAAGTTAGGAAATGGCTCTCGGATTTCCTTACAAATGTACTGACTTTTAAACAAATTATTTACTTGGTTTGTTTAGTTACCTTTTTAAATACGAGCAAATATCATTGTTCTAACTTGATTAAAGCTTCCCTTGCTGCTGTTTAGAGTCAGTGAATTTGCATGGGAATGTCCGAATTTCTTGGTGACCGTAACACAATCCAACACTTTATACCACGTGACGGCTATTGCCGAAAAGGTGAATTGTGGTGTTTAAAGTTATATGTATTTCTTAATGTTCTTACTTCGAGACTGGTTCAAAAGTTGAGTTACTCATTCCCAGAGGCTCAAAGAGATTTTCCTTCATCCACTTCTGGTAGCTCATATTAAGATTTGAAGCTAATCCATTACCAAGGAGAGCAAATCCAAGATTACTAAAAAAATGATATGCAGGAGTGAATTACAATCAATAYTTCTCAATACACTCGTGAAATGAAAAAACTCAAACTATAACCTTTAGCTTTAGGTTGATTAGAGGCAGGGTACGGCTAACTCGATCCCAGCTCGAATTGTAAAATGAAGTTACTGACCGCGTGCGTACGATCACGGTTGCTATATGGTGTGCAGACATGGGAGATGTCTACAAATGACATCAGTAAAAGAGAGGTTGTGTGGCATCCATTTATACGAAAGATTGTAAAGGGAGGTYATAGCAGGAAAAATGCTCCCGACCGAAACAACATTAACTCGGATACCCGAACTAGTGACAGCGAAGTAGACTGGAGCTACAAAATATCAAATACACGTCTACTAGAAATAAYAAAGACCGCCCCCATTCACAGTTTCTGCACATGTCTGTAGGATGAACAGCAATGAACTACAGAAACAAGTCTTGTTCGATACGAAAATCCCCAGGAGTTAATTGAGTAAGTTGGAAAGGATTCTACAAATGGACTCCACWCAAATTAGGAGAAAGTTGATGGACAAATCAGCCCTTACGCGACTGCTGCAGCAAGTGCTGCAGACAGAAGCTCCCAAAGGATGCTAGTACTCCGAAAAGGGAAAAAATAATGATGATGATGATGAATTTAGCATGTGTTAGGCTTGTGGAAAGAGGAAACCCCACAAATAGAGTAAAGTTCAAGGGACCTAACACACTCTATTCACTTGTGATGTCGAGACTGAAAATCGAGCCCTACCCCCCAGGGGAGAAACGCTAATGCATTACCGCTACACCGGCAAGTGCAGAAGCGTATGGTTTTGTTATTTTCAATATTCAGGTATAAAACCCTTGCTTGTGACGCCAAAGGAGTTCAATTTGGAGGACAAGACAAAAGAATTTCAATCTCCTGAGAATGGGAAACCTATYGTTATGTCCTCCGGAGTTGCATTCCGACGTATTGCAAGAGGTCTATTAGRATGGATGTACGATTCCTACCTGTATGAAGGCTTCAAACCAGGTGCCCACAACAGAGAAATATCTTTCAATCGTTTGAGAATGACAGAGTTGTTATATGGGCAAATGTCTTCTGCAGTGTCTGGATAACATGGCGCCTCGCGCGGTAG